GCCAGATCTCTCACGGCTGCTGTTGCTTCCCTTCTCCAGTGGGTGCTCAGCTCTGCAATGCCCCTTGCTGTCCCAGAGAAGCCCMGGAGTCACGCTGCTGATCGCCTCCCCTGCCCCGGCTGCTCCAGTACCTGCCTTTGGCTGCTCTCCAGCCAGCAGCTGGCCAAGARCCATGACACAGCTTCGTTTTTCCAGCAGCTTCTGCTGCTGTTTGGCTCGCTGAGCCCCTGGCACGCTGGCCAGTACTTACATAGTCGCTCAGCCTAGGAACTCACGTAGTGATGGTGAGCTGCAGGTGTGTGGGATCCCGGGCTGGAGCTGGAAGGCTCGTCTGCAGCATCCAGCGCTGCAATGCCTGAATGGAGGAACCTGGCCCCGCTGGTGACTCAGAAAYCTCAACAAAGCCGTCAGCAGAGAGGGCAGGATCTGATCTTAAGCTCCTAATGGAGGTGATGCACAATGAATCCTTGGAGAGGGCGAGAATGGGGATGAAACTGCTCCTCTCAGAGGGCGACCTGCACCAGTGCAGCCTGGGACACCGGTCCCTCCTCTGATTCCTCCCCAGTCCCACTGCCAGCATCCCTAAGGCAGTGAATCCATCCCAGCTGTGCCTCTGAGCCGGGTGCTGCTGTGCCTTCTGTGGCAACCTGGCCTGTAAGGGCTGTGCAGGAGACCAACTCCACACCCTGGCACAGGGGAGCTAAGTGATACAGCTACTTCACCCCATCCCAAATGGATTCAGGTATAAAGGCTGCTTTTGGGCACCTTCCCCTGCCTCCTTTTGTTCCACACATTCTTAAGGGACAGGGAGCAAAAGGGAAAATTTTAAATTTGTGAGCATCACTCCTATTTCATCATCTTATCCTTTGCAGGGGTTAACTGGGTCCAACCTGCTCACAGAGAAAAGGGAGAACCTCTCCTGCATGYTGGTGAGCCTCACTAATCTAAATATTTTGACGGGAGTTCCATAGAGTGCAGAAACAACAGTGTTGGCTGCAGCTCCCATCACTGACTCATCCTGCAGGGAGAAACTTCATCAGGCTCAAAATAGAGAAAGCTTTCAGTTCTGCTCATCACACTGCACGAACACCATGAAGGTGTGGGGGTCACGTCCGGGAATGCAGGAGCTTTTGGGTCCTTGCTGAGAGCCAGGGACAGCCTTGGCTGCCCTGAACCCTTGCAGAGAGTGCTCTGGTTGGGCTTGAAGCCGTCCTTGCATCCYCGTGCCTGTTCCCACTCCCTCAGACGAGTGTGTGTGTGCAATGTGCCTGTGTGCTGTGACTGAGTGTGGCAGGAGGCAGGGCACACACCTTCTTCTACAGCTCCCTGCAGTCTGGAGCACAGCAGAGYCACCAGCCTCCCCTTGCCACTGAGGATGCTTTGTTTGAGGCTGCAGGACCACAGGATGGGGCAGTGCTCTGAGCTGTGTGTGTAAGAAGCTGCAGTGAGCCAGCTGAGCTGCGGTSACAGGTTGAGCACATGCCTTTGGCTGGAGGCTGGTGCACCACAGCCTGATTCAGTTCACCCTTCTTTCCCTGAGGCCGAGGTCAGTGGCATCACCTGGCAGTGCCCTCACTCAGCTGACACAGCAGGGCTAAGTTTACCCCATCTGAGGCCATCAGTGAACTGCCAGCCACAGCCTTATGAAAGCTCAYTAGGCTAATGTGCTATAAGCAAAATATTTTCCACCTTCTGTAACGAAGGTGTGAAAAAAAAAAAATCAATCTTCATTGCTAGAAATGTTTGAACTAGTTTGGATTAGTAAGATCTGACCAAAGTGGTCTTTCTAAATGCAGCTTGAGTCTATTTCTTTGCTCTAAGATGACTTACTGTAGGTTTAAATTATTTGAATTAGATTTAAAAGTTAAATGCTGGGTTTATTCTTCATCCTAACTTAAGATTTTGGGGGGGATGTTTTAACATTTGGCTGTTCTCGGTATTTCTCTGGCAGCCCAAGAGCCCATCTACAAAGCATCTACTGGGACAGCAGAACCTGATTTTTGAAGTTGTTGGGTATAGTGCCCTTACTATTCTTTGGAGAGGGCTTTTCTTTCAGGTCTGGGTGGCTTCAGTAGTGAACTCTCTTGGCAGAGACATGTCTTGGGATTCTGCTGTCTGTGCTGCCATTTAGTATCTGAGTCTGACAAGATCTTCTGGAATCTGGACTTATCACCATTTCCACAGAGATTCTGATCCCAATTTTAATTTTGCCATTGCGATTTCAGTGAGAGTTTGTTTATTCAGACATAGTAATCAGGCCTGTGCCATACAGAAGCAACTTAGCTGCATCCAGTGACCAGAAGGCAAGGCTGTAAATAAAATATTTGTGCAAGGACTGTGCTGTGACCTTCTAACCTGTGTTCATGAGCAGCTGTACCTGGCAGATCTCTGAAACCGAAGGTACTGCTCACAAGGAGGTTACTAATAATCACCTACATGATGGCAGAAGCCAGAGACAAACACAATTAGGTTGCTATTATGTTCGGGCTGCAAGCTCTGTCAACATACAGGGCTTAGGAGAATGGGCCTCTGATCCCTGATGCAACATAAATAAACAAGGATTAYGGCTGGCTTTGAACATGCAGAACCGTGCAATTCAATACCATTAGCATCTGAAACAACTGGTCCCCGTTGATAGCACTTCTTTAAAGAAAAGCTTAGCGAGGCTGCCTGTCCCCCCCTCAATAGATCCCGGGCAGCAGAATTAGCAGAATTACTTATTTCTGTCAGAGAAGGGTGGCAGGTGAGTGACAAGGTCATTAAGGGAATGGAGCCAGACTTTGCCTGCCTTTGCGCTGAGTTTATCCCAGACAGCTTGAAACTGAATACAGAACCTTGTTATTTATGGCTCAGGGTGCAATAAACCACATTTCTAAAAACATAACCAAGTCTTTGCAGGCTGCAAAAGAGAGACAAGAGGAGCAGCTTCATCATTTTGCCTTTAGCAAGGAATGGTTGAACCCTTGCTTCTGCAGATCCGTATTTGCCTTTCCACGTGTTTGTCTGCTGAAAGCAGCAGGAGCTCACATGGGGGAAGGCAAACACGGCTGGATATCTTCACAGCAAACCGAGCCTCTGCTTCAGCTCGTACTGCGGCACCTTTCAGGGCAAATCCTCTCTGGGCAATGGAAACCAGACCAACTTGCAGCACTTAGAGTGCTCACATTYTTGCTGCATTTTTAGGTCAGTTTCCAGACAAATCTTTGCACTTTTCCAAGAATATTATATTGGATAATAGGGAAGCAAAAAGAAAAGATTTCGGTGCCCATCAGATCTGCCAGAGCTGAGACATCAGAAGAATGACACCTCATGCTGACCGGCTGCAGCAACAGGCAAGGATTCTTTGTAGTGACAGCTTATGCAAACCACTCCAGTTCTAGCCCAGTGCTGAAGGAGCAAAGCCAGGCTTCCTGAAGGAATCCTCTGAGCAAACAAATCTCCTTGTTCAGCCCCAGCTGTCAAAACAGGTCACTTACCAGCCTGGCATATGCCCTGATGCCATCAAATCATGATTCTGCACAAGAAGAACACTAAGTTCTTTATTGCAAATTATACACCTGCAAGCTTTTATTTCTTCTCAGAACACAGTAATTCACCCAGCAATCAGTGCAATATTAGCTTCATGTCGAACCAAAYAGAAATTTAGAAACTGAAGAGATGATTTGCTCATGCCATTTTCCTCCTTCACACTGTGCCTTGCACACTAAATTCTATCTTAGTATGTTGTAAATACAGCATTGTTTTCTGAGCAAGATATTCTAGGGACAAAGATACAAGCACCACCTACAAGTAGAACAAAAATAAGGAAATGACAGAGCTACTATTCTGCTTAACACCAGTGTTTTATGGCATATTTGAAAAAATAAAAAAAAAACCCAACGAAGCCCAAAACAAACAAAAGCAAATCACAAAGCTCCCAAGACTGTGTTAGGGTGTTATGTTACAAACTGCTGTAGGAATAAATATTTGCATAGACATAATGAACTGAGAGATTGAAAGTACTAAATGAGTTCAAAACATGCATATTTGCATTACCTTATTGTTCTGAAATGAAAGGTTAATAATAGTGTTGAAATGGTTTATCTCCTTGGTTAAGTCTTAATTCAGAAAATCCTCGCTGGTGTTTGTCTCCCCGCTTTGCCTGGATGTTTCGATCAACTGCAGGACAGCTTTGAAACACGCTCGCTTTGAAGCCTGGAGTTTATTTCTGGATCACCCCATGATCAGCGAATACAAGCCAAAATATAAGTTGTTCSCAATCTCAGATTTCCTGTTTGAAGATGCACAGCAGAAACTTTATCAATCCTAAAGTTCTTCTTTGCTGCATTATCCGAAGAACTTCACCAACATCCTGTAGCTAAATGACACAAAGTTGACCTTTCTATTACATCATTATTTATTGTCCCTGACAAGTAGACCATATATGGGTATGTTTCTGAAACCTAAAGAAGGAGAAAAAAAAGCCATATAATTTTGAAGTAAAATATGCTGTCCTGGAGAGTTTTATTTGCCTGGGGAGAAGTGATCTCCATTTATTTTTGTTTTGGCTGATGCTTGTTAAACAAAACAGCCAAACATTACATGGGTATTTACYGATGTTTCAGAGTTGTTCATACATTGGAGACTTCAGGATTCCAAAAGATGACAACAGTAGTTGTGAACCTGTTCCAAACAGTATTTGTAAGACCTTACKAGAGGAAAAGGACTACTCTCATGCCACCTGAATGTGAACAATATACTCCCTTTCAGACTCCTCAAGGCCATAAATGTGCAGTGGTACCCATCATCATCTTCCCCACATCTGGAAGAGGGCAAGCTGTCCAAGGAGGAGATAGTACTGATCCAGGGATGGGTTAGAACATATAGAACTGACACTTGGATTGTCTGGATCATGGGGACAATAATACTCGCTTTGGGGAGGCTTCCATATGTTTGCCTGTGCCTTTCCCTTCAGCTCCTGTTTCACTCATTCCCATRGCAAAGCATTGCATATACTGAGAATAAAGCCTAGATGGAAGTGGGTCTGCAATCCTTTCTGAGAAACCTTGTGGAGGCTCAGGTTCATGCAGGCACCCTGTCAATGCATGAACACCCCCATCGAATGCTTAGCAAGAGCAATCTTGAAGGGAAAACACGTAGCAAGACCATTTAATCCTCTAATATGTGATTCCTTTCAACTCATCTGCTTTGTTTTTAGAGTCTTTCGGGACCAGCATCATTCCCTCTCCATGCTTGCACCTGAATCCATCTTGCGCCAGCATGACATGATGGTGAGTACAGGGCACATCTTCCTTCCCTGCTGTCTGAAAAACTTGGTCTACTCTACTGCTAGGACAGTTTTATCCGAAATTAAGGTCATTCAGCAGTTACTGTGATAGACAAAGGAGCCCTGGATGTCATCACCGAGAGTGTGTGAAACTCTTACACCCTTGACAAGATGTCAGCCAACCCTCTGTGACTTTTAAACAA